TATGTATATATATATAATATTATATTGTCTTGTTTTCTTTGTCTCCAGGGTAGCAAGATCGACTTGGCTGGCTTTGCGTTGAACACACTCCTCCAAAACTCCTTCAGCAACTTCTTCCGGTATGACGGTAGCTTGACCACTCCAGACTGTCAGGAGGTGGTCACATGGACTGTCTTCAAGGACTCTATCAAAATTTCAGAGAGTCAGGTACACATCGCATTATTCATATCTGCACAATACCGTCTTACTTTAATTTACTTTTATCCGCCGCTTATACCATTTTGGGTATCGCGGGAAGAAAGAGACGTCTCTCTGTCGCCAGCCGGAGAGCTTGGGTCTGGGACATCTATCCAGGTCTTTCTCTGTTGCCCTCTAGCCTTGTTGCCATCGAATTTTTGGATGTAGGCACGTTGTGCTGGATGGTGTGTTGATAATCGTAGTAGATGTCCGAACCATTTGATTCTTTGGAGTTTGATGTGATGCATGGCATTTCTCGGATTACAGAGTTTCTAATTTTGTCTCGCCTGGTCTTTTTTACTGCTCTTCTAAGGCATCGCATTTCACATGTTGTAATTCTTTGCTCTAACGTCTTGTTCGTGGTCCATGTTTGGAATTGATCGGTGAGTTTTAGGATGAATATGGTGTTGATCACTTTGAGTTTTGTTGTCATGGGGATGTTAGGATTTTCAGTAGTGGAGTAAGCTGGTAACTAACATTATTTGCCTTTTGTACCCGTGTTTCAATTTCTCTGTTCAGTCGCCCATCCTCTGTGAATATACTTCCGAGGTACTTTAATTCTTGGACCTATCCGAGACTGTTGTTGTTGATGTGTATCCTGAGTGGTTCTGGCTTTCTGCTTACTTTCATTGTCTCTGTTTTGTTGATGTTGATCTTCGTGCCGTAGTTGTTACCTTCTTCGTTTAATCTGGTTGTGTGGTGTTGGAGACTTCGTTCATCTTTGAGTGCCAGACTTTGGTCACCAGCGAAGTGTAATTCATTTAGGGCGTCTGGTTCTGTGTTGGCCTCTTTTGTAATTCTATCCATATATATGATAAATAGTAATGGTTATAGGACACAACCTTGTCTTACTCCGGAAGTTATCTCAAACCATTCAGTGAGTCCCTCTGACGTTCTTACTGTACTTATGCTGTTCTCGTAAATGGCACGGATGTTATCTAGAAGTTGGCCTCTTACAGTGTAGTTTTTGCGTTCTTTCCACAGTTTGTTTCTGTTCACTCTGTCGAACGCGTTCTCCTGGTCGATAAATACTATATTCAGTTCCCTGTTGTGTTCTATTACCCTTTCGCACATTTGTTGTAATGCAAATATTGCGTCGGTGCATCTTCTTCCCTTTCTAAATCCCATTTGGGCCTCACTCAGAAATGGTTCAACTTTGTGTCTTGTTCGCCATTCCAATATCTTGGCGAACATCTTGCCCTCATGGCTTAGCAGTGATGTGTCTTAACACTTAATAATATTATAATACTCTCTCTCTCTCTCTCTCTCTCTCTCGCTCTCTCTCTCTCTGTGTGTGTGTGTGTGTGTGTGTGTGTGTGTGTGTGTCACTCTCTCTCTCTATCTCTCTCTCCCTCTTCTCTCCCTCTCTCTCTCCCTCCCTCAATCCCTGCGTCTCTCTCTCTCTCTCTCTCTCTCTCTCTCTCTCTCTCTCTCTCTCTCTCTCTCTCTCACACACACACACACACACACACACACACATCTCTCTCTCTCTCTCTCTCTCTCTCTCTCTCTCTCTCTCTCTCTCTCTCTCTCTCTCTCTCTCTCTCTCTACAGAGAAAAAGAGAGACATAGATAGATAAATAGATATGTCAGCCTGTCTGTCTGTTTGTCTCTCTTTCTCACTCTTTGTATCTCCCTCTGCTCATATTTCGCTCTCTGTCTCCTTCTCTCTCTCTCTCTCTCTCTCTCTCTCTCTCTCTCTCTCTCTCTCTCTCTTTCTCTCTCTCTTTCTTTCTTTCTCTCCCTGGCATTCAAAATCCGCATATTATACATTCCGGCTGACAGGTGGATGTCAACCTTTAAAGTGTGATTCTCTAGTCTTGTCTGTGTCACAAATCCATTTGGTCGAATCAGGTGCTCGTCAAAATTTTGAAATTAAAGAAACCGGCATTTGTTTCCCTCTGTCGGGTAATTTTAATGAAGTCTCTTTTGCGTTTTGTTTTATTTTTTTTTTATTTACTTATTTATTTATGTATTTATTTATGTATTTATTTATTTATTTATTTATTTGTTTGTTTGTCTGGGTGAGGGGGTAACACCTTTACAGTCAATGGAAAAACACATGTCTGAGTTGATTTTCTAAGAAACGGTGACCAATCGCTTAGTCAATTTTCAGTTTCTAAGGACCCCCAATCTTTGGAGGTCACCTAACGTTGGTTGCCATTTTCTCGCTAATTTTACCTCTAACACCAAGCACATCTGCCTCTTTCAATAAAAAATATCTCGATTTCTATTCAAGACACATGGGACTTTTTTCCATTAAAATCAAGACAAATGATCAAGCTTTAAGATCATACAAATAACTTCATATGCTAAAAACTTCATAATATACCCAAAAATAGACGATAGCCTGATTCCCCATTGCCCAGACACATTATATTCTCTTGTTGAACTATGACTATGAGTGTTGTTGTGCTAGTGCATCAAAATAAGAAGCCCACCCAACAGATTTAAACATTTATTGTCTCTGAAAGATCAGAGATGACTGTGCCAAATACATCAAAAGAACCTAACTAATTAGTTACTTTTCTCTTTGATGATGAAAATAGAAATAGAACATCATAGAAATAGAAAAAGATCAGAGTTGATAATGCCAAATACATGTACGTACATAAGAAGAACCTAACTGACAAGCTATAACACTCACTTTTTTGACATAATACGTGGGGAGTTTTCAAAACTTACTCACCCCTTTGTGTTTGGCAAATATCTAAGCTTAAGTAAAAAAAATATGAAGGACATTGTTTGAACGATGTTAATTACTAAGAAAACCCCAAAATATTTTGATGTTTAATTCCTAATCTCCTACAGATGGAAAAATTCCGAAATGTGATGGACGGAAATGGCAATGCAATCGTTGACAACTTCCGACCTCCAATGCCGCTCAACCAGCGGGTTGTCCAGTCCAGCTTTACAACGGGTAAGATAAGATACGATACGATACGATAAGATAAGATAAGTCTTTATTGTTCACATCCTGGCACATTGGTTTGGTGTTTCACCACCTGTACATATACACACATATGCACACACACACACACACACACACACACACACACACACACACACACACACACACACACACACACACACACACAA